CATGACATCATATGGTCTGAACATCCCTTTGGTCAGCTGGGATCAGCTGTCCCGGCTGTGCACCCCCAGCCTCCTCACTGGTGGGGTGGGGTGAGAAGCAGAAAAGGCCTTGCCTTTGTGTAAGCACTGCTCAGCAATGACGAAAACATCTCGGCATTATCAAGTGTTTCCAGCACAAATCCAAAACACGGCCCCATACTAGCTACTATGAAGAAAATTATCCCAGCCAAAACCAGGACACAGCCTCACCACCCTAGGTTATTGGTTCAATAGCAGAAATGAGCTGTCCCCATTGCCATTTAAAAGTGATTCAGTTCTGGTTCATCTGACTTTAGTTATGGTTCGAGTAGGTCTGTACTTTCTTTTTGCTAGTGAGGAGGGTCAGCATTATTCATTTTATTTTGTAGTGGAGAGTCACACAAAACTTGGTTACTTTGGGCCTTTAACAGAAATATGGAAGAATGTGACATGAGTGCTCCTCTCTGACATCTTCAGAGCTTACCAGCAAGCAGCTGTGGGACAATACAGGTGATGAGTGTGTACTCTGTGAATGGGATCAGTGTTTCCCTGATAGATATATCTCTCTTATGTTACATGGATGGAGTGATAGTAAAATTAAATGTCTTTGTGTTTACTTAGAGTGAAATCAGAGGTGAAAAAGACACACTCATTAACTCTGTACAGGGTTTAGAAGCAGATGGATAAGACCCCAAAAAGCTGCTATAGGTGCATGATATCCCATTCTCATTACTTTTTAAAGAGAGTTAGGTGTGCAGATCGCTCTGTTGCACTTGAACTTTTCTGCCTCCATCTTTTGGTGCCACTATGTTTCTTTGGATATCAGAAATTAATGACAGCAACAGTTAGGACAGCTTTCCACTAGCTGAAGGTGGTTTATTTGACAATGCCTTTGTGCGTCTGGACACTGTTCCAAACCACCTTTATGGGAGACTGATCTTCAGTACAATTCATAGGGCCTAAGTCCAACCACCAGCCTGACTTCTTCAAAAATACAGGCTATCAGTTTATAACTTCTTACTTTATCTTCAGGAACAGACCTGTGTTGACCCTGAGGCTTTAGAGAAAAAAGAACCACTACTTCCTTTGATTGATCATCTCACTGCTATGTTGGTTTTTTTTTAAAAAAGTCATGCCTACTAGATTTTATCAGAGGGAATGCCTTTTTTCCTCTGGAATTTGGCCTGAATTATCCTGTTCTGAAGTTCTTGATTCTTGAGATTGGGGTTGTGTGTACTGTTCCCCTTTTGTGCACCCGCTGGTATAATTTAGTAAATCTGTCATTTATGCTCAATATAACAGAGTCATTTAACTGCAGGAGCTCACCAGTACAATTAACCTTGTTCTGTCAAAACGAGGAGCTGATTATCTTGGCATTCACAGGAACATAGAGCACAGTTAGAGTGCTGCCATTTTTGGCCCTCCTGGAGCAGTACTGCAGTCAATTGATTATTTTGTTAATTTGTTCTGTATCAGTATCCTGCTGGTTTATTATCATCCAAGTGACTTTATGCACCATGCATAAGTACATTAAAAATCAATACTTGAACCTTTATTCCTTGTAAAGATCTTATCATCCATGGGCTAACTTCTTTGATGCATGACCTTCATGCTGATTACAACACTGCTAGTACCTTTTACATAGTTTAGTTGCATGCTAATAAAGTAGGTGCTCAGATTTTGTTCTTTACTTAATCCTGTATCCTAACAAAAAAGGAATAAGTGAATTAAGAATGAAATAAACAAAAGGCTGTTACTGCTGATAAATAAGCCTAATTTTGAGACAGTAAACTTCATGCTATTTTAGTAAGAAAATCTTGTTCCTTCACTATGTTCTAATAAGTATGATGCTTCACAGGCTTGAATCCCTTAGAGATGCTATTATCAGAAGCCCGAGTCTTATGAATGCTGTTTTTCCTGCTTCGGTTAGAGAAACAAGTATTTAAAAGATGGCATGAGGTTGCATTGTGCATTGGATTGAGGGCTGGATTCCAGGTCTGAACTTGACACAAGTACATGGGATTATTGTTGTTACAAGATCAGAATATTTTCCAATGATTTTCTAGTGTTGCACATGCAGAGATGTTATCTTGTGTATGTGTTTTTGAAACAATGTGACACAATTCTTCCTGCATTTGTGTTACTGATGTCACAGGAAGGCCTGCTCTTCTTTAAGAAGAAAACCATAAGACAGAAGCAGAATCATATGCGGTCCCTCTCCTGATCTAGACTAGATATGAAAGCACAAGTTCCCAGCTCTGGAAAAACACCATTTTTCTAATGTAGATACCCAGTTGGCCAGAAGACTAGGATTCTCCCAAATCAGCTGTCTGCAGTACTAAATGGGCAGTTCTCCACTCAAATAATTGGATTTGCATCATCCCTTTCCAAGTTTGTTCTATTGGGGATTTTTTTCTGGAATATATGGATGTTATCTGATCTTGGGATCATTGCTTTCTAGACACATTTTCTTCAGGAGAAAGGCAAGTTCTTACCTCGCGCTGGCTAAGATCCATATACAAGGCAACTGAATGAGGTGATTTGTAGCTTATGTAAGTGAGGAGCTACCAAGGCCTTACCCAAGCCTTTCACCTCATTTCATGACAGAAATGCCTAATCTTTTCTGTATGCAATTGTATGAGTTACCATCATTTGCGAATGTGAGGAAACCCCACCTTGTTTCTGTAGTGAAAAAGAGGCCTTGGAATTTCTGACACTGTTACATCAGTGGATGTTTAACAACCTGTATGCCTTTTGTCCATGTGAAATACCCAGAAAACAGCCTACAGAGTGGTTTTAGTTCAGAGAAGGTTATACCTCCTTGAGGGGTATATTTCCTTGTCTCAGGAAATTATAATACAATGCAATATAATAGAAAAAATAAATTATATTTTATTGTGAAGATGGAACAAATCAGACAAATGAGATGATCCTGAAGAGGGAAACCAGCCTGTGCTATTTCTGCAAATTGCTCCCCCACTTCCTCCAGGTTGTCTTAAAGAAAAGCCAGGGCTCCTCAGCATTGCTTTTTAATTAGTAGAAATCCTTTTGTACTAAATCCTAATTCAGTGCCTTAATGCAGCAGGTCCTGCAGAGCCTGCAAGCTTGCGTGGGAGCACAAATACATGAAATCTTTTTCTCTGGCATCCCTCTAAGTGAGGCTTGGCTTCTGTTCATAATTATTTTCTGTGGTGACAGCTTGGGGTTTGCAGTCACAAGCAGAGAGGCAGGGGTGGTAACAGAGGAAGATATAATGACAGGTGATTGCTCTGTTGTCTCCATGGCATCACTGAGCCTTATCTTAGAGCTATCAAACAGTGTGCTTATACCTTTCTTTACTCTGTACAGGTACCTCAGGCCACTAAGTATACCTAGTATGGGTCCTACTTAATCACTGTCCTCTTTCCAGCTTATTTGGTATTAGGTTTTTTCTTTATTTTCAATCTGCTCTGCTTTTAATGAACCTGCACAAGTAATGGAGACACACATATAAATGAAAGCACCTACCAATTCAATATTTTATCATTTAGTACCTTTAGTTAAGGAGTTAGAATTCATACAAGTAAATTTTTAGAAACATTTGATGCTGCCTTTTCAGGGCACATTGCCCCATCCTGCTCACTATGAATTGGTATTAGGTTTTCAGGGTTATAATGAAGCAATATAGCTACGAGGAAAATAGCTTTTAGCCTCCATCAGTTAGATCCCAGTTTCATCTCAGCCTTAGGCACCTCACTGAGCACTGTCTTTTGAGGCTCCTGCTTTAATTAATGGAGACAGAAGGACACCTCCAAGAATGACTCAACTAACCTAAGATCTGATTTAGCCTTTGGATGAATTTCTCCTCTGTTGATTTTGACTGACATTATATGAGTTACTGCAACACAGTGGTGTAATTCCTGTATATATTTTTTTAATTAAATGCTGGAACTCTTCATGCTATCTTGGTTCCAGGTGTTAGGCTAAAGAGTACAAAAAGAGTATGTCAAACTTGACAGCACTTCTGCAAGGTCTGGGAGTATGTTAGCACATATTATGGCTCCAGTTACAACCATTCAGTGGTCTCCTTTAGGAGTGCTCTTTTACATGGGTACAAATAAGATGATTATGGTCTGACATTTGTAATTCCTGCCTCCAAAGATATTTGTGTGTCTAACTTATTTTCTACAGTGCTTACTTAAATGCTTTTGTGGATTTGCTGTTTATAAAGAAAAGGATCTTAAAAAGTATGGCTACTTGTGTTTCATAACCAGTATTTTCATATCTTACACTTTAGCCAGTGTGGTCAGTTTACTGGCTTCTTTGCCATTTAGTTTTTCTTGCCAGTGTATTTATTTACCACTTTTTTATTGCAGTGATAATCCCTGAAAGTAGATCGCTTTACAAGACGTGTTTTCAAGACCCTCAGGAGCATGATGAAAGCACACAACACCAGATTTTTTTCTCCCAACAAATATTTTTGGCAGGAAAGGCTATCTAATACTCTGAAAATGCCCTGGAGAAAAATCTGAAAAAGTAAAAGCGTGGTTGAGACCTGCATCCTCATTTTATCAAATGTCTGCAGCTTGGAACAGTGACATACTGGGAATCAAATACTTTTAGCTTCCAATAAGAACAATGTTTTGATTTTGGTGGCAAAGAAGAAGTATGGCAAGAACCATGATAATAATGATGCTGGAATAGGGGCTCTTTCTTATGCAGATTGTTGGGTGTCTAAAACATGTTCAAGATGTAGCTTTCCTCCAGATAGGACGCTTCTGGGTGTCTCTCCCCCATGTAGCCATTGTATTAGTCCTGGAGCTCTCTACCTCTTTGCAAATTTTGGTTGAAATCAGTCACCGATTTAGAAGTTGCAAATGAATGACACAAACACAAGTAGAGTGATTTCATAATCCTTACCTCTCACGAAAACAAAGCTAAAAAAATCTTTGTGTATGTGATTAACAATGTTGAGCTAAAGATGTAAAAATTAACCCTTCCAGGTAAGGAAAGCTGTGCAACAGGAAGGCTTCAGCAGAAGGAAGCGAGGATATAGAGAAATCAATGACATTGACATCAACATGAATGATCCTTTATTTACAAAGCAATGGTACCTGGTAAGTTTTGAAAGAAAATCACAGTAATCATAAATAAATAACTGACATTCAAGCTATTCTGTGCTGTTGCAATGTTTTGCAAGAGTTCTTTCCAAATATGTCACAAGAACTTGGGAATGGATCCAAGGCTCGGTCCTGTTGTTTTTAACTGTACTTCTTTTATGCTGGGAAGACCCAGCACATTTCAAGAGCTAAATTTCATTTCAGTCAACGGAAAGATCCTTAGAAGGCTTGAAAGAGAACTGTATTGGTATCCTGTGGGCATTCCTGGTGTGCTGATGTGACCCCTAAAACTGCATATGAATCATGTCTTTGAGCTGTTGCCAGGTAAAATATTGTTATAGAATTATAACAAAAAGTTCTAGTGTATTGGCTAGGAAAAGTTGAGGTTTTGAATATTAATTGATTTTCTTCTGTCAAAAGCAGAACAGCTGAAAACTGATTAATTTTGGCTTAAGCTAATGTCAAAAGAAATTAATATTTTGCTAAATCATTTCATTTTTAATGTGTCATATTTTATAGGGTGAAGTCTTCAGTCATAAAAGAAAAACTAAATTTTTACATTGAAGTAGCCAAAATGGTATTTTTCTATTTAAAAGGTTGATAAAGTAATTTTGGTCAGTTTTAATGTTGCAACCTATTTATGATGAAATACTTAGTAACTGCAGTACTGCCTTGTTAACTTAAGAAGGGTCTTTTTGCTTAAGAATAGTGTTTCTTATTCTCTTTCCTTTTAATCCATTTCTTATGTTTTATAAATCCATCCAATATGGCTGGGTTTTTTTCTGAAGACAAGAGTTTTCAGATGAATGAGGGCACATTAGCAAGGATAGGACTTCATCCTTGATGCGATGATAAACTACAGTGTGGATTAATTCACTTCTTTCTGGTACTTCAATTAAAATGTAGCAGTGATAAAAATAACAAAATTTTTATGAAGCTATAGATTTTTCAGATTCTAAAGTACACTAAAATGTGTTTTAAAATGAGATGTGTCTGACACAAAATTGAAAATGTTTGCATCTGGAACAGCAAAAGCCATATTATTTTTCCTATGGAACTTGAAAAATTTGCAAATGAGGTTAGTGAACATAAGTAATGCCTGAAGATACAGGGGATTGCCTGTACTGCAGAACCATAGAATCACACGCACACACAAGGTTGGAAAGGACCCTTGAAGTTCATCTAGTGAACTTTCCTGCTTAAAGAAGGGCTAACTCAGTTATCAAAGAAATTGTTTCTGGTACTAAACCCAGTGGTCATGAGTTTCAGTAGATCGCTGCTTTCAAGAAAAAAGCATTTCCTGCTCACAAAAAAGTCCTCTGTAAAATCCATTGGTGTAACTTTTTACTGGATTGACCCAGTGCCCTGACATGCTTAAGTAGAAAAGCCATTTTTTGGGTCCAAAAGATGCAGTGTTTAACCTAATCTTATAAATCACGAAGAAGTGAATTTACCCAGGGTTCATTTTTTGTTTAGTGTTTTGTTTTTTTCTTTTTTTTTTTACTGCTGCATTATTGCCCTAGATATGATTATGTACAGATGTGCACTCCAAAGCAAATGGGATATATTTTCCATACCAAAGATACATGCAAAAACGTAAAGCAAAATTCAGTAGCTGTGGAAATGTGTCAATCAAGTAAAAAAAGCTATTCTTCTTTTTCACTGATGTATTAGATTAACACTGGTCAAGCAGATGGGACTCCTGGACTTGACCTTAATGTAGCTGAAGCATGGCAGCTGGGATACACAGGGAAGGGAGTAACCATAGGAATTATGGATGATGGTAAGTGAAGACTGAGTGCTAATTTAGTATTTTTAAGTAGCTTTTTCCATGTAATCAAAGTCAAAAAAAGATTGAAAAGTAATAATGGATTGCTTGTCGTGGTGAGACTACCAGCCTCCTTAAAGACTTTGAGATCTTCAGGGAAAACATGTTATAAAGACTTCACTAAGGATACTGAAGCATGGATATCCAAGCATTAAAAGTAGTTTGCAATTATCACTCAGATATCTTCCAGGGCTATAATGGCCATTAAGCTAAAGGAGAGACTCCCTTTGACTTCTGTAGGCACTGACTGGGGGAAGTAATTGCTGTGCAAAAAGTACTTAAGAAAACACTCTCTGGGTTACATTATTCTCAAAATCATACTTGACAGCTGAAATAATTAAACACTTTCATGCTGAATGTCAATAAAGGCCTGCATATTAAATGTATTACTAATTTGAGGCTAAGTTCAGGGAAGATGAAGATAAAAGGTACAGTTGCAGTCACAGCTGTTCTACTCATGGGTTCCTTGCTGAAGTACAGGAGTTCTGTGCAGTCTCTCAACACTTTTCTTGGGCTAAATTTTGAATGTTTTCCTTTTATGGTGACTGAATAATATTAAAAATAAATAAATAAAATGTCTGGATCCCCGTATGTTTTCTAGGATCAACTGAGATCTGCCCTCACTTACTTCTGTTCCTCATCTGCTTACTTCTAAGACAAGGTTTCTGTGGAAGTAGGAAGGTAGACTTAGACACCTGTATGTTGATGAGAGATCAGTCTCATGTGAAAGATGTTCTCTCATGTGATGTCATGAGAAATCACAATTTCACTGATCCCACAGAGGCAGGACTAGCTTTCAGAATAGCTAGGCATGGCTGTGATGGGCGTGATGACAAACGATTTGAGCTTCAGGTCAAATAAAGCTGTTGGCCCATCAGATACAGCTTTTAGAGAAGGGAGTAACTTGCCTTATATTCACTTAGAGTAACTCTGGATGAGAGCACCTGAATAACATGATTCTTCATTGAGACTTTTGTTGTCCACCTACCACTTGGATCAGTAAGGCTCTCTGCAGATACAAGGGTCTCTTCATGCAAATGTAGTGCTAAGTACCCTACATAATAGGAGGTAATCACTTCATCAGAATAACTATGATAATACAACATTCTCGCTGCAGTTAAAATTGAACATATAATAGTGAGGTAGTTGGAGACATGGGGCAGAGTAATGATCAAAATGTAACATGAGAGTGGTGGCCATTTCTTTGTATGTTTTAACTGGATATGTAATAGGACAGGTTATCCCATCTGAGTGTAGATGTGCTGCTTCTGTTACACCATCCACTGGGATTTGTATATTTGCCATATGTAGAAAGATACCATGCATTAGAACGAGTATATTTCATACCACTGCCCTGTTACAGTCTTTAGCACACGACCAAGGTGCAGAGCCTATGCTCAGATATTTCCTAAAATGGACTAATCCAATATTAAAAGTTCTCTTTCATACACAAAATCCAAAATGTTTGCCTTGGTGATCTCCCCAAGTCTAGTTTAGGTAATTTTCTGTCTACTTAGTTTACGATTTTCCATGGTTAAAAATACTCATTTTTATATCCTGTATCCAGGGCTTACTGATCTTGTTAGTTTTGGTATGCTTTGAGATGATAGAACTTGTATAAAGATAAATTGTGATTTAAACTAATCTTAATAAGTAAATATGATCTAGTCTACAAAACAGGTCAATAAATTTTGTCGCTGAGCTCACCTTTTCAATTGGCACCTGGTTTTTGACATAAATGATTGAAAACTCCTAGCTGGGACTGCATCAGTAATGGTACACCAGTTTAAAAGTCCACATTTAAAAACTGGAATCTCACTTCAGTCAGTTGCATTATTTGCCATGATCATTTTCTTATGTTTGCAAAGGAATCTTGTTTTGTTCTGTGATTATTAGAAAATCTTTTTTGAAACTCTTAACCTTTGCTTTCTGTTTTGTCATTATCTTATTGCAGGAATTGATTATCTGCATCCAGATCTTGCATCAAATTATGTAAGTACATGCTGACCTTTCCTGTAAAATGTGGATTTTCTTCTTGTTGTAGTCCCTCTGCTACAAAATTTTCAATAATGAGTGGAACAATAGTACAGCTGAACTGCTGATCTTACAGATGATACGTTTCACATGGAAAGAAGCAGACTAAAAATGGGACACTCTGTGCAAGGAATGGAAAGGTGACAAGGCTCTTTGTGGAGGAATGACAGTGCTGCCTCGCATTAAATAAGCTGCAGCTTGCAATATTGGATTTAGGACAGAAATGAGTAACCTGGGAATTGGCTCTAAATCCTGCTATTAAGATGCAGAATGCACCTGTCACTTGGAGGGCCACAGAGCTGTGGGCTGTGGCAAGGCATGTATTAGCCTTTGAAACCTCCAGGAACAGCTTAATTCCTTTATAACAGGTGATTTGATGCAGTACTTCAAAGCATGTGCAGGGCAAATTGTGTATTCTCAGCACACAGTGTGTCAATTGATTGTTCCGCAAACCTATCTCAGGCTTCAGACCTTTGGACTAGAGGATTTTTATCTTTCTTAATTCTTCTGGGCTCTCCCCAGCCCCCCATGGACGCTAGCACTCCTGTCTCCAGGCGTCTACAAGGGCTTCCAGTACCCATGGACTGTGGGTTGCCTTTGTGGTACGCTGGTCTCATGCTGTGCTTGCGGCAGTCCGTTGGGCCATGGGCATCAAGAAGCAGTGGCTCCTTCCCGGGAGGCTGCAGTGTCTCTGCTTTAGGTCTTGCTATTCTCCTGCAGTCAGTGGCTTCCTGAGGGAAGCCCAGGTTTCTTCAGCTAAGCAATGTGGTTTAGTTTGCAATTCCAATTAAATGAAAAGAAGGAACAAAGACAATAGGAAATTTTGGTAAAAACATGAGCCATTCAGATAGAACAGCTCCAAAATGAGAAAGTTATTCTTACGTACTTCCAATTTGGGAAATAATAACACGCAGGATGAAAATCTATTTGTTGTTGCAAGTAGCAAAGCACATTTGGTAAAGAATAAATGGATATAGAAGGTGTTTACTTTGGACAAGGAATTTGGAAAATAGCTGACCGCAGAGGTAAAGTGCAGGATAGGCAGTTTCACTCCTTATGAACTGATTTAATAACTTGATAGCGGCTAATTAAACCCTGTGCCCTGACTGCAAAATTCTCTCCCAAGGGAATAACTCAGTAGGATGTTCCCATAAATTGATACAAATAAAGAATATTGTAAAGGACAGCCTTTTTCTTTGCAGGAATTGTCTGTGTGTATGTTCTAGCGTATAATCTGGGCAAAGCACACACTCTTTACTCACTTTCCAGCAGCAGGTGGTGGACAAAGTATGTGGGAATATTCTGGTTCTAAAAATCATGTTTCAAATAAACAAGCAAAAAGTCTGTACACCATATCTGATACAATGTCAAATAGGTACAGTTCTGCTGTTAACAGTGAACCTAAGATCACGCTCAGAAACCAAAAATAGATTTCTCAGTAATACAAGGTTTTCTCTTTTAATTCTAAAAATATTTTCCGTTTGATGGATAAATATTTGTCAGGCTTAGCAGAAATGTATTGGTTTTAGAGTGCCAACAGTAAGTATTCTAGAATTTAATGGAAAATGACACAGAGAATGAGAATGCACAGACATGGTGCTAGAAATCAGAAAATAGTAGAGCAGGGGAGAAATCTGAGACTTCTGAAAATAAATATTGGAGTGAAAATTGGAGAAGAAAAGCTGTCTGGGCATGGGGACAACAAACCTTTTAATGGCAGTCACGAAAGACTTGTGAGGAGACTGATCTTGAGATGAGAATCTGAAAAGGTTTGTGTAGGAATGACTTTGTCCAAGCAAGGAGCTGTCCAATAGTGGAGCAATGATCAACACAGGGGAGAAAAGACTGAGGAAGACAGTCATTAAAGGAGCAGCAGAAACCCCATCTGAAAGATCAGTCTTAAAGGAGATACCACCCCAATGCTTTCAATACAGCAATACAAAAATATGAGCTATCACATGAAATCTGTGGTTCTAGGCTGTCACAGCACTGGGGGGGCGGGGGCAGAGCTTGAATTTAAATTGTTCTTATCTCAACCCACAAGTTTTACTTTTTTTACTATTCTCCTCCCCATCCCACTTGGAGGGGGGAAGTGAGTGAGCAGATGCGTGGTGCCTAGTTGCTGCCTGGGCTTAAACCACAACAGTAGTTCATCTTTATTGCCTAAGGTTCACTTTTAATTCCATGCTGAATATACCAGAGGACGCAGCAAGGAAACATGCTGATAAATCAGCACATTCTATGCAAGGTAACTAGTAGAAGGGTAAACTTGGTAACCAGTAAGAGGTGCTGGTAACTCCTCACACAGAGCTGGCTGCAGTTGCTGTGTCTGAGAGGTGGCTGGCTGAAGGGCAAAGTTGACTCCTGCTCCCGCTGCTAAAATCTGCCATCTCTTCCCTTGCCCAAGTACAGCACAGCAGTTGCAGGGCTTGGTTCATCTGCACTTTGCCTCTCTTCCTTTCGCTGCAAGGCTGTGTAGGCCTCCTTAAGTCCTAGGAGATCCTGCTCTGACAGCAGCTACTGAGTCTCAGAGACCGTGGGGGCCTTTTCTCCCAGTAGGTAGTAATTTGGGCATGAACTAAAGACAAGGACTTAAATTCAGCTGAAGGAAAGATCGGTTTAGATGTAAAAATGCAATGAAATGAGTCTCTTAAGGAACAAGTTGTTAACTCACTTCAGGCTGGCGTAGCAATTGCAGTCACCTTTGTACAATTCCTATACCACGTTTGGTGTTTCACGACATTTACACTTTGGGGCAGCTTTCTCTTAAGTTATATTGTTTATTTTTAGGAAATTAAAAGCCTACAGCTTATGTTTCTCAAGTGTGTAAATGCCTGCATACCCTGGCAATGTCTGCACATCTTGCTTGGAAAATTGGGAGCAATTAGAAAGTCTCTCAAAGGTGGTGTTTTTGGCACTTGAGCACTTTTCAAGTACAAAATCTGGGCATTAGTTCCTCAGTTTAATTTGGCTTTTATGTTTTTGACTTGCTGGTTTTCTTGCTTGAATAGTTTAATGGGGGTTAGCACTTGACAAAATAGAGGGTCAAGGAAGAGAAAGGGCTTTCTAAAGAAAAAAAACAATTTGTCCAAAAAATTGCTAAACTGTGACCTATCATGTAGAGTGCACTTCTATCCATATTTTTCTTTGCAGTTTCTGAGTTTTACCACCTGAATCATCCATTTGTCTTTTTAATGCACTTTATATACATGAGAAGGAGTGTGCCTGCTCACAGGCTGGGTGGACTGCTCTCCCAGAACACCCTCCCTGCTTGCTGCAGTATAACTACTTGCTTTTCTGGGATCAGGGGGTTATGGCAAAGCTGGAATTTTCCATTCTGCACCATGAATGCAAAGAAACTCATTGTTGAACTATCAATATTTTCTTCCAAGCCCTGGAAACCCTGCAGAGGTTCAGCCTTCAGGAAATTATTATTTTCCCTGCAAAGAGAACCCTTCATTATGAGCTGATAATTAAAAGCTGAAGCCTAATGTACTCCATGGTTTTCTTTCAACTCAGACTATACATACAAAGCCAGCAATTTTCAGGACTGAGTTCTCCAAGTTACAGCATCTGAGTGAGAAAAGAAAAGTGAAGTAACAAGGGCTGCATATTAGCTATGCCTAAAAAAAAAGGAGAACAGCAGCTGTGGGGGGTGTACGTTACAAATTTCAGTACATTGTTTTAAAGAAAAACCTAGGAGAGCAAACGTTGTGCCACAAACAGAAACATAAGCTGATATGTCTCTTGTATCAGTTTGTATTGCAGTACTTTTATAGTTGGACAATGTCTGCTGGTGAAGATGAGTGTAGTTGTGTTATCCCACTTACAGCAGCAGGGAGCTGATCATCTCATGTAAGTGGGTTTGTCCATGATTAGCAGTAGTGAGGAAAACCAGGATCCCACGAAGAGACTCAGGCCAGGAGTAGAAAAATTCCTAGTTTCATTTGGTGTCTGAACTCTGCCTGAAGCTGAAAGCTTGTTTAAAAAAACTGGGGAGGGAGAGAGTACAAGACAAACATTTACTGTAGGAAAACTGGAGGTGACTATGTGAATAGGTAACTTTTTTACAAAGTATTGTTACATGTAAAATGAGAATCATACCGCAATGCTTAATAATAGTAATATAACATATTCAGATAAGAAAAAAAGATTTTGAAATCTGTGGAATTACACAGATGTAATGTGCACAAACATGCAGTCATCCTAGCAGCACTTCATTGCTGTCCCTCCCCTAACTTTTTCTGGTTTTTCTTCTCTGGAACATGTGTCTTTATGGTACAACCTTACGTTCTGTCTTCCAAGGTCCTTACCAGCAGTTACTCAAGCTGTACGCAGGAAAAGGTTTGCTGAACGAAAAAGGCCATATGTAAGGAATGAGGGAAGACTTTCTGGAGTTACCCTGGGGTTAATTGAAGTTTTCTGTCATCCACCATTTCTTATTCAAATGTAAACAGCAGGTGGTCTTACCTGTCTTCTCTTTCCACTTTGGCAACGTGTTCAAACACAAAGCAGTCTCTCTCTCACAACTTCTGGTAACTTTTCAACAGCTAATATGATAACAGCTCCCCCCGCCTTGCTGAGAGGCAAACAGAAGCATATTTTTGGAATAATTATCTTATCACATAAGCAGTGAAATGTTCTAATTCTGTTATGAGCTGCAATTTCCATTGTTTACTATAGGAAGAAAACATCACTGAATAATCTTAACAGCCACAAAAGAAATAAGGAATAGTCCAGGCAATAAATCATACACTCCCATATATGCAGTGAAGCATAGCAACAGCATAAAGGATCTTCTTTCTTTTAGAAAGTCTGTGTTTCCTTCCTTAGCCTGAATTCTGAGTATGCCTTGGCATCCGTGCATGCTGCCCAAAGGACAGGCAAGTTGTTCTGGAGGCCATGAGCCTGATCTCAATGATTTACCAGTATAAATCATCAGTATCTCCACTAAAATC